CCTACTTACATCGTAGTTTCCATGTTCTGTTGCATTCCCTTTTAAATATCCCCATGTGTACCTTCAACGGCGCAGGGGGGGGGCCTTGCTATTCGGGGAGCTGATTACGCCGCTCGTCCTAATTGTCCGAATCTCGCGTCCTACATCCCACCGTAACTCAGGAAGCTCGGGCTTAGGGTTCAGGGATCTAGGGTTTTTAAATCTAGGGGTTAGGGATTTCTGGTTTGGGGATCTAGGGTTCAGGGATCTAGGGTTTAGGGATATAGGGCTTAAGGACGTATGGCTTAAGGATGATGTGGGGTTTAAGGATCTAAGGGTGTAGGGATCCAGGGTTTAGAGCGTATAGGCCCGTAGTTCCACATGGTTTCTCAGGTTTAAGGGCCGCTACTTGGGTAAGTATACTTCCACCTGGAGAGCCATTTGATACACAAATTTGTGTGTACGAAATATTTCGCTCGACACCCCAAAAACGGCACGATCTTCAGAGAAAGTGACCGTTTAACAAAAAACGCCCGTGATGATGCTGACCTGTGTGAATAACTCCTGAAACCAACGCACACATTCAGGCATATACCTCATACTAACAATACCCTGATCCCGCAAGAATGTGCCATCCTCCGACCTGCATGCACACACGTTCATCGTGCACCAGCTGATGGACATGTTCCATCCTTTTGTGTCGGCGCCTGAGAGGTGTCACTGAAAGTTTCTGTGCCTTTGGCGGACATACAAGCACTTTGCCCTTGACAAAGTCTTTGCCCTTGACAAAGTTCGCCAGTGCGTGGTCAACTTGTGAGTCCTACGGCTGAGTCTGCTGACTCTGCCAATAAAGTCTTCATCCGCCCACACCATGTAGTTTACCGGTGAAAAAATGAACGCTGCATCCGTCTCTAACTGGTGCTGCATGAGGAGGCTTAGTTGTTGACTGAACTAGAAACTCAATAGGTTAGCTAGGGTTTACTGCCACTACAAGAAAAGTACTTCGAATCTTGAGGTTAAACAGTGCCGAGGCACATCAAGTGGCAGTACATGTGCACTTTCGGCCGCAAGTGGTACATCTTGAAGCCCAATCTGGCACTATATTTCCCATATAAGTCACAGTATGGGATTGATACTTATAACCAATTTTAGAACTAAAGCAACCTGCCGGCACACACCCCATAGGAAACCTATGAAGATAGGGTTTAGGATTTCGGGTTTCAGGCTGAGGGTTTAGGGCTATAGGCATCCCAAAACCTAAGCCCTTAAACCCAACGCTCCTACACGACTAACCCCTACATCCCCCAGCCCTTACCAAGAAGCCCCGCCTACCTGCAGCTTAGCGGTCTCTACCTTGTAAGTACCGGGTCAAAAAGGTACGAAGCTGTAGGCACTTGAGTCTAAACCCTAAAACGCCAAACCCGCAAATCTTAGACCCTAACAACCATGCAACTCAGAAGCCCTAAACCTAAACTGCAAACCCTGAACCCCTAAATCACCAACTCCCTAAACCCCTGAGGCCCGAGACCTTGAAACTCAACAACCTGAAATCCCTTCAAACCCCTAATCTCGCAGAACCTAAGCCTGCGAACCCTGGAGCCCGAAACCTTAAAACCCTTAAACCTAAATCCCTAAACCCTAAATCCCTAAACCCTAAACCCTAAAACCCTACATCCTAAACCCTAAATCCCCAAACCCTAATCCCGCATCCCGAATCCCTAAACCCTGAAATCCACAAGTGCTAACAAATCGTAGCCACTGGCTGCCATCAGCGCATGAGCTAATCACAGCCCCGTAGCTGATGACGTTTGGTGTGAGCCTGGAGCGGGGGGTTTTGGGTTTAGGGTTTAGGAGTTAGGGTCTAGGGTTTGGGGTTTACTAGTTAGGGTTTAGGGTTAAAATCAGGGTTTAGGGTTTAGGATCTGGGGCTTAGGGTGAAGTATTTGGACCAAGGGCCTAGGGCGTTCTAGGGTGTAAGGTAGTTATAGCCGAATTACAGCTGTACGTAGCGGCTTTGGGATGTCAGGTTTACAGGGTTTAGGGTTTAGGGTTTAGGGTTTAGGGTAAGGTTTTGAGGGATTCAAAGCGGAGAGACTGCTGAGGGTTAAGCTACTGTAGGGGATTAAGGTTTTTCGAGTTCAAGAACATGAGGTTAATCTAAGGTTGAAACTATGGGCCCCCGGTATGGGCCCCTAACCCTGGCATCCCTATATACCTACTTAGTTCGTAGAATCCACCCTGAAAGGCCCAAGACTCACATTAGGGGCCCGTACTTCAAACCGTAGAGTCAAGGAGTTCATTAGAGGCGTAGAGTTTAGCGGGCTTAGGGGTATATGGGTTGATTCTTTCTCAGCTATCAGGGTTGAGGCTCCACCCCAAACCGGTATACTGTGAAGGCCTGAAGACTTACCAATATCACTCGTCGTTTAAGGTTTACGGTTAGGGCCCTCTGTAGCTGTAGGAAAGGATACCCCGAAGCTGAGACACAATTCCTTCAGCCCCACGTTATGATTCCTTCAGGAGGAAGACCTCCATGCTACCCAGAAAATCTTGAACATCACCCAGTACAGCACCTCAAGCAATCTCTAGATATCGGGAACCAATGCCTGCAACCCCACTTAGGAAGTGGGGTTAGGGTTAAGGGTTGGGGGTTTGGGTGGTCCGGGGTCTCGGGTGTAGGGAGAACTGGCAACCCTAGTTATAGGATGGGGTCTGCTGTAAACCCTAAGCCCTAGACCCTAAACCCTAAACCCGAAACCCTAAACCCGAAACCCGAAACCTTAAACCCTAAACCTTAAACCCCAAACCCAAAACCCTAAACCCTTTGTCAGCCTCTCTTGCATCCCTAAGTAGGCCTCTATATCTCCTTATACAACTCTCCATGGCCCTATATGTTTGTAGAAGACTATTTGTCCTTATACAACCTTATGGAACCCTGAGTAACCCGAAGTCGAGTTTAGGAAGCTTAGTTTCTGCGAGGTTCAGGGTTTAGGGTTTGGGGTTTAGAGTTAGGTTTTAGGGCCCTAAACCCCATGACACTGAATCTGAAAATTTCCAGGTACTTGGACATCTTGGGGAATCCGGAAACCTGATATGTAGACTCTTATTTTTGCAGCCCGGTCGATAAGCCTAAAACATTTTGAGTAGTGCTATTTGGGATGGTTGAACCAGCAAAATACTTACCTTTCAAGACATAGTGGACCCTAATTGATGAAATCATCGTACTCTGCATTGTCCCTAGTTTAGAGTACACACCAGAAAAAAAAGTATAGACTTTTCAAGCATAAGTTGCTATAAGAAGAACCCAGGAACCAAAAAAGTATTCAAGTGTAATACTCCAATATTGGGTTGTTGTGGAGCACAGTACCCGCTTGAAACTACCCACTCCATCCCAGCCATAAGCCGCTAATCCCCGTCCCGACCTTTACCCTTCATCTGAGCTATAGTCTACACTCCTCGCATTCTCCTACTAAGCCCAATAATGCTCCCCTACATAATCCTCTATATACCCCCTTTTAAGGAGTTTAGACCCCAAACCCTAAACCCTAAAGTATTGTCCCCTGCATATCCCATTTAAGGAGTTTATGCTATAGCTCATGTGGCATCCCCTGCCTCCGAACCCCAAACTCAAACTGCTTTAGGCTGCGCGTTTAACTCTTAGGGTTAAGGGGGTTTAGGGTGTAGGGGTTTAGGGGCTGGTGGTTTAGGGTTTAGGGGTCTCGGGAATCATGAATCACTGACCCCCCTAGTCGCAGGCATTATACATTTTAAAGTCCTTAGCCCTGAAAGCTAAACCGTTAGCATAGTAGCTTTGTTTGTGGCATGGAGTTAAAGAGATGAAGAGCATGCTGCCAATATCCAGCTTTCCTTAGCTCAAGAGGTTTGTAGGTCCCTAGAACCGCTCAACAACTGTGGAGTTAAGGCATTCTGGTCTGAGGTGGGGCAGTAGTTTTGGTTCAGTGGATGTGCTCTGTTGCCGTAGGTGTCTGCGTACAGACCCACGAGACTTTCTTCCTGACAGGGGCTCAGCCCTAAACCCTAAACCAGGGTGTGCTTTGAGCAGGGGTTGTGGAATGCTTCTGTTAAGAACGATGGTCCTGAATAAAAATATTCTGGCAACCTAGATCCCGGTAATTCAAACCCTAGAATGAACAAGTGATAGTTATAGGCTGCAAATTACAGGGGTTGGGGCTAACAAAATCTTCTTAAAACCCTAACCCTGAACTCTAAACCCTAAAATCTAATCCATCTATTGAACCTACTATATGCTTGGAAGGCCTCTTCAAAGGTGGATTAGACTTTAGGGTTTAGGGTTCAGGTGTTGTGCGCTTGCGAACCATGGGGTTTAGGGTCTAGGGTTCAGGGTGATGATACCAAAAAATCCCGCACGGAATTAATAGATCACAGTGCCACACGTAATTCCTAAGGTTTAGGGTACTTAAGGCCATGCTAAACCCTAAACCCTAAATCCCTAAACCCTAAAGCCCTGCAGCATGCAGCATCTTAAATATCAGCCGTCGATCCAAATATCCGAAGTAAGTTTTGGGGTCGCCTGGGGGCTTGGGGGCCGAACAAGAACCACCCCCCACCCCGCTATCGGCGCTATCTGAGGCAAGTACCGTTCAACGAGCTTAGGGCTCGAAGTAGGTCTCACTCTCCCTAAGGGTCCAAGTACCAAAGAATTAGGTCAATCTAAAGGGGATATATAGGGGTATAGGTGTATGTAAGGTTTAGGGTTTAGGGCCCTAAGGGTCCATGTAACTAATAATCATATTACCCTAAACCCTAAACCCTAAACTCAACCTGAACCTAAACCCCAATGTAAACCCCTAATTGATAGACCCCCTCCTTGTAAGGGCCTGAATTTAGGATCCCGATTATATTGGGTTTAGGGTTAAGGGTTTCGGGCCTTAATATTAGGATCCCTATTATAATCCTTATTAAGGGGGGGGTTATTAATCATGGGTTTGCATTAGATGATTAAACCCTAAACCATTTGGCTTCAACTGCAGCCAGGAGTCTCGCAGGAGCTGATGGTAGCGTTGTAGCTAATTTCGGTCGGTGAAAGCTTGGCTTTCCTGGGACCAGGTTGGGTAATGCCCTGCCTCCTGACGTTCTTTCACCAGGTTCCATTATTCTCAAGATGTAGGGGTTTTAAAGGGTGTAGGGTGCTTCGGGTTTGAGAAATTGTGGGGCTAAGGGTTTCCGGGGTTTAGATTTTAAGGGCTTGGGGTCTGTGATAGATTCAGGCTTGATATGGCTGCACTTTCAGCTGGAGTCGAAACTCAGATTTGGCCTAGGGTTTAGGGTTTAGGGTTTGGCCTCTAAATTCGAATTTCTTGTGGAAAGGGGAGGGGTCCTTACAGCTAGAATCGAGACCTGTCCCCTTTGATGGCACTGCTTTTCCCGCGTGTGGATGTCTCATGTACGCGGTTTAAGGCTTAGGGTCCTTCTTGAGATATCTTCGATCACTTGAGCACTAGAAATGGGATGGACGACTGGAGGCCCTTGAAACTCCACACAAGACCTTTAACTGCCCGAGTGACGGGGAACCAGAGATTTGGACTTGAGGGCTTAGCCTTAGGATGTGAAGCATCCTCACGAAACACTTATCCTTGTATGGCAAGAATTCTAAACCCGAAATCCTAAACCCTAAAGCACAAAAACTCCAAGCCCCAAACCCGAAACCTCAACCCCCAAACTCGAAACCCAAAATCCCAACCCCCAAGCCCTAAACCCTAAACCCTAAACCCCTAAACCCTAAACCGCTATAGAACCCTAAATCCCAAACCCTACCCTCCACTCAATAATAAGAATAATAGTACCTAACGATAATACTAGTAATAATAATAGTAGCAATAGTAAAACCCTAAACCCTAAACCCTAAGTAGTAACAATACTAATATGAAGAGAAAGCTTCGGGATGGAGCTAAAGAGGTGCAGTGCCAATTGCCATTGCTCCCCCTTTTCGCAGGCACTGATGCCTTAGGGTTTAGGGCTTAGGGTTTGGGGTTTGGGGTTTAGGGTTTAGGGTTTAGGGTTTGGGGTTTGGGGTTTGGGGTTTAGGGTTTAGGGTTTAGGGCTCTGTGCTTAGGGTTTAGGGCTTTGTGTTTAGGGTTTAGGGATTAGGGCTCTGTGTTTAGGGTTTCGGGTTTTACTTTTTAGGCTTTAGGGTTTAGGGCTTAGGGCACTGATGCCTGGGATTTCGCGCTCCCGGGCTTCTTGATGCTACAGTTTTGATATGATGGTTGAGGGATTAAACAGGTTCCAACACTGAAGCTTTACATAGCTCATTGAGTCTTGAACTCATGAACCTGAAAAATTGCCCACCCCTTAAACCCTAAACCCTAATCTCAAGGGTTTCAAGCTTGTACCCCCAGGGTTGTACCCCTGGGTTTGGGGGTCTTTCTACGAAACTCTAGGGGACTACATTGGCTCATATAAGGGCTATATTGGGGAAACCTTAGGGGTACTACCTCATGGGTACAACCCAGGAACCCTTGATGATCCTCAACCCCAAGCTCTTAGCAAGCCAATCGGCGGAGCGCTGGGCACCTCATGAGCTAACTTCCCGGAGAAAAAGCTTACTGCTTCTTCGTAGGGGATAAAGGAATGCATTATAAAGGGATTTCATTGGGATAAGCCGTAAATCCTTAAACCTAAGAACCAGGAAAACAAAAATGATAGGTTTGGTGCTTGGAGCTTAGGACATAGACTTTCGGGGTCACGGTTCAGGCCTGAGGAATTTAGGGTTTAGGGTTAAGAGTTTAGGGTTTAGGAATTAGGGTTTGGGGATTAGGTTTCAGGATTTGGGGCTGTGGGTTTAGGATTTTGGGTTTGGGGTTTAGGGCTTAGGGTTAATTCTACTTCTATAGGAGTTACAAGCGTCTCTTGTCAAGGACCACGGGATATCTGTTTTGATGTATGCAGCTAGCTCCCTCAGCAACCCTACCTTCCTCCGCAGTGGGGTCCCTGACATGTCCCTGTCACGCACATAAGTTCAGTTTAGGGTTTAGGGTTCAGGGAGAAAACTAGAAGAGTCCAGCAAACCTTAGACTTTGTCCCACAACTGGCTGTAGCCCGACTTACCTGCAGCTTCGTAGCAAGTAGCCCCCTAACTAGCATGTATCACCCTTCGAATTGCCCTAAACCCTAAACACTAATCCCTAAACCTAACCCTAAGCCCTATACCCTAAACCCTATACCCTAAACCCTGAACCCTAAACCCTAAACACCCTAGTAAATCTTGGACCCTTCTATAAGGCCCAAGGTGCTAGCACTGTAGCTGATGATGTTGGGGCGTAGCTTCACAGTCGGCATGGTGTCGAGAAGAAAGACAGCCTTTCTGGCGGGTCAGGGGAAGTCGGGGAAGGGACAAAACAACAGCAATAACACGAGAATCATTAGAAAAGAGAATAACAACAATAGTGGAGTAGGGTTTAGAGGAGTCCATCTAGGGCTTAAGTTTCGTAGTGAACACAATAGTCAGGACTTGTGTGCGGATTATGGAGCGATGCGGCTTTCTGGAACCACCCTAAGATCCCTAAATCCTAAAAAAAAACACGGAATCCCTTAAATTACTTTACGGGCCCTAGATGGTTTTAACTTGGCTCCACTAACGCACTCTACACCTCAAAACCTACGGTAGCATCACATGTTGTTTCCCGCGCTCCCCGAGCCATTGCCCTAAGGGTCCAAGGACCCAAATAACAAGGCTTTAGGGCATATTACTGCATTCTGAAACTCTATTATTTGGGTCCTTGGACCCCTTCAGGGTTAGTGCTAAAGTTTGGGGTTTAGACCCTAAACCCTAAACCCTTAAAGCCTAAACCCTAAACTCATGGCATAGGCCGCCCACCTTCGATGGTGGGCGGCGCTTATCCCTCAACATCGATGGCGCAGGTCGATCCAGGTCGCTTGCCTGCCTTCCCACAGCCAGGGGTACTGTAGCACCCACGGGAGGCCAGGTACCTGGAGGAGTTCTCCTCGGGACCAGTACTTCAACCTGGTCGTCGAAGCTTTTTTTCCAGAATGGATCCGGCGGGGATTTGGGGGGGTCCAGGGCCCCCTCTGCGAGTGAACTCCCAGGAGCCTCCCAAGGCCTCCCAAGCACCTCGGGGCCCCAAGATAGCCTCTAGGGCCCAGGCGCCTTTCAGGTACCATCACTTCCTCTTTAACGCCTCCCAGAACCTTCAGCGTACAAAAATGAAAAGGTGTTGTTGACCAAGATGGACCTAACTGAGTTTAGGTCCTAAACCCTACAAGGAATAGGTTTGGGTGGTTTGGCCGCCTCAGACGGCGTGGGGTGGGTGATTATGTTACATGGCCTTCTACGTTCAGGCCATGGCAGCACCTCGCATGCAGCCATGCACTTCAAGGATCATTGACACCTAATCATCACGCCCCGCACGGCAACATGACAGCAAACCCTAAACCTTAAACCCTAAACCGCGCCTCCCTGGAGATGATAGTTGACCATAATGATGATACACAGTTGCAGGAACTTTGTGTAAAAATGATATTCCTAAAATAGTACCCTTAAGTAGATAGAATATGGATTTGGGAAAGTATAAAAGATCCCCATATACAACACATTCTATCTACTTAAGGGGGACCCTAAACCCTAATCCCTAAACACGAATTAACCCATTATAGGAGTCTCCATTTTCTTCTCCATTATCCTCAAAAAACCCCCAATATACACCCTAAACCCTAAACCCTGCAGTCAACCCTAAACCCTAAACCCTAAACCGCCCCTTTAAGCAACATCAAGCGGCCAGAGGCCACTGTGCGCCCTTCTCGCAGGAACTGATCGTAGCCTCAGGTTTTAGGGTTTAGGGTTTAGGGTTTTTGGGTGGCTTTTGGGTTTAGGGTTTTAGGGGTTAGGGTTTGAACATCTGGGTTCTGGGCTTTCTTCGGATCTCAGATACTAACCACCTTCTTCCCCTCCTAAATCCCTAGTTTGGAGTACACCCCAGAAAAAAACTATAGACTTTCTAGGTATAAGTTGTTATGAAAAGAACCCAGGAACCAAAACGTATTAAAGTGTAGTGCCACAATTTTGGGAAATCGCATCCGTATTTCCTGTAACCCCAATTCGGGCTCATTTAGGCTTTGTTTGGGAGGGGGAGTAAAGGAGTGGGGTGTAGCGTCGGATCCCATGATGTTGGAGATATCCGAGAAGTACCCGTTAAGAAAAGGATACCTACATATCTACTACACATGCCTGACCTTAAAGGCACCTGGGCAAAATGTAGGACGGGTTGAGGGCTCATTTTCAAACTCTAAAGACACCATGAACCTCATAAAAGACCCTAAACACTAACCTAAACACTAAACCCCATATGAGCTATAGTCTAAACTCCTAGTATCCCCAGTAGACCCCTACTGTAAAATAGTCCCCTCTTTAAGGAGTTTAGACTACAGCTCTTATCTCCGCGGGGCTCCTAAGCGCATATACGTCATTGGACAAACTTCCATGTATGTGTGTGCAAAAGTTGCATTAGGATGCCTGGGGGTTTAGGACTTAGGGTTTAGGGCTTAGGGTTTAGGGCTTAGGATTTAGGGCATACGGTTTGGGGCTTAGGGTTTAGGGTCTAAGGATGCATTTTCAGCGGTCTGCGTCTAGCCGAGGCACGTCGATCCATGGTGCTAGGGCTTACTGGACAGATTGGGTTCTAGGGCCGATTACTACAGAACAAGGAAGAAACACTATATAGATCCAATCATTCAGTGCCTACTCTACCCTTGAAACTAATTGACTGGCACTATTGTTATTGTTCTTATACGAATTTTCGTATTGATATTTATCTGCTTCCTTATTTCATACTTTTCATAATACTAGCGCTACTATTATTTTTACTGTTAGTTACGGTGCTTCATGAGTATTAATTATTGTCATCAATTTTACTAACAGTATGACCAGCTATGCAGTAACTATCCGGGCAGTTGCCCACCGTCTATGCTCTGAGAGCTACCTCCTTCCAGATGTACATACTCATGCTCACCTACGTTCACAATGTGAAACTTCCTTTGAACCCGAACCTCGAAACTTGATGGGCTCAAAATGGCTCAAGGTAAGTGGTCTTCTCTGGATGGGCTCCTTTCTCGTCGAACTGCAAATCCCGCACACCTATTACCCTAATCCAAAGATTCTTCTCATGAAGCTCCCAACAAAAAATCTGGGGCTCAGCATTTTCAGAAGCCCCACACCGCAAAACCCAATCCTTTAAGGTTTGAGGTTTAAGGTTGAGGGCCTGCTTTTACAATGTATATGCTGCTGTCGTCTCAAACCCGATTCTTTCCGCAGCATGGGGCTTCTTAAAACGCATGGCCTTAGAGAATCGAGGGACAGATAGGGTGTCCATAGAACCCATAAGCCTTGAGAGCCTGAACCCCAAAACCAGAATATGGGGTATATGGGGGTTGTCATATGCCCAAAGCCATAATCTATCTACTTAAGGGGGACAACGCACTCTGAACACCAAACCCAAAACCTTAAGGCAGGGAGTCTTTAACAATGCATGGCCAGTGCACTGGCGGGCCCCTGAACCCCACTTGGAGGTTCAGGGTATTTCGGACAGAAGTAACTAAACCCCTAAAGTACAGGCACAGTTGGTTTATACTTACCATGAACACTCCAAGTGGCCCGCCAAAGACCATGAATCATGAACCCTGCGCTTGCCCGAACTAACATGGAACCTGAAAGAAGGAGGTCATTTGTAGACTACTCTCCATTCAAACAGGAGGCGTGTGGTGTTCCATGTCATGGGGGGAGAACATACCCTGTAATCCATATATATATATATATCGCCGCACACGCCTAAATATTCCGTAGGGGGAAGGGCCAGGGAGGGTAATTAATGAATCTAAGCCACACTGAAGCTGATCACGTCCGGACTCAACCGTGCCGCTTGCCTTGTTGTCCGTCTCTTACTGTTGGGGTTTCTGGGCCTGTAATAAAAAACAGAATTTATGGGAAAAAGCTTTGGGTTCAGCAGTGCGGAATTGAGTAGGCCGCGTTGGCTTCATTCTATTCCCCTACTACTACCCCCTTCAGGTTCCCTCCTAGTTGGCCTTGATTCGACCTCCTTATCCTTACATATTCCTCATATTGGAGGAGGCGTGGCGAAGGTACCATGGTTAGTGTAATTGTCTCTCCAATGGTCTCTTACCTGAATTGGCTACTTCGAGCCTCAAAATCCAAGTTCCCTAGTAGTCCGGCTACTGTACTGGAAGGGTCAGGGTATGATTATAACCCAATTGTAACTGTGCCTATGCCCTATGCCCCCAAATCGCCTAATAGGGTTGCAAATGGGTTGTAAGTGTCAGGTATAGCCGGGTTACAACTACCCTAAACCTCGACCTACCTGTGACAAGAGGTTCCTGGGTTCAGGAAATCTGTTCATCGTAGCTGTCCTCCTACTAGAGTCTATGTGAGGGCAAGGGCAAGGGAACAGCTATTGATATATTAAATGTTGCCTTTGTTCCTGTTCCCCGACCCGGCTGAAACCTGTACAGCTTCGCGTATTTAGTTGTGGCCCAACATGAGAAAGTGGAGATGCTCTTTTTGTAATGAATAAACTGGTTCCTTATGGGAGGTGCTACTAAGAATATGACTTTATATTCCACATTGGGCTTTCCAAAGCCTTAAACCCTAGCCCCAAGCCCCAAACCCTAAACCCAAAGGCTTAAAGGAACTAGTCCCAACAGAGGCCAAACAAACCCTACCTGACGTGAAAACTCTGATGTGTAGGACCGGGTTTCCTATGAGGGTTTCCTGACATGAGGGGTACTTTATTGGGGTCCCCATCATAAGGATTGTAATATTTGGGGGTACATATTGGGCCCCTTATCTTGGGGAACTACCATATGAGCTATAGTCTTAACTCTTTAAGGCGCACTTGCAGGAGCCGTAATCTACACTCTTTAAACGGGGTGTTTATATACGGGATTACATAGGTTACTGGCATCGGGCTTAGTGAAGCGAATACTAGGATTTGAGACTAGGGCTCATATAGGGGATTAGGGTTTAGGGGTTTAGGCATAAGTAATGGACATGTCCTACCACTCATGGCTGACA